AGCAGAGCTGGGAAACTGAATTGAACAAGACAAGGTTTCCAAACTCAATGCATCCAGTCCTCTGCAGAAATTCTCTGAAACTGCCTGAACAATTCATCACCAGAACAAGAAGAAGTCAAGAAATGACCTTTCTTGGATGCTGAAAATAAGAACAAGCCTATATTTTGGCTTTGGCTACCTAAATCCTGTGCTACATGTTAAGATTATTGCAATATTCTTATTAAAATTGGTGGGTGGGCAGGGGTTTTCAATAGATGCCAACTGCTGTGAAATTTACTAGCCGGAGGCACGAAGGTGCCAAGCCCATTAAATAAAATAACTATCCATAACTCTCTGCAAGGCAAGGCAGTGTGCTTCTTTGTGACACGGCATCATGGCTCAACAGTGAAAATCAGAAAGACACCTTGAATCCCCAGCCATCGTCTCCTTCAAGTCTGTATCTTTTCCCCCCCTGCAAATCAGTATTCTTTTTGTAAAACACGGCAAAATAGAAATGACAGGGAGTGCTTTATTTCCCTCATGTTGACTGCTAGTCTGCCTATCAAAAAATATTAACACAAATGGATGGAGTCTGCCTGCTCAAGCCCACAATCCCAGAACATCCCATCGCTAGAAGCGAGAGATGATTGGCATTCTAAGTTTATGTTTTGGGTTCCCTTGACATGCCGGGGAATTCTCCAATACAAGGTAGTTTAAGACAGGTAACAACGAGAAGGAAGGAATCAGACGTCTGCCCTCAGGCAGACCCAGTAGGCCAAAAGGAGAGAAAAATAATAATAATAAGGTCTGGTAGCTACAGAAATTGTGAAGAGGTGGAATCACAGTCCTGTCAAAGGATTCTTAAGTCGTAGCAAGATTCTGTCTTTCTTTTGCCAAACACCTGCATCTTTTGGTCCAGGATTGTCCTGCCACCCATGGGTGCTATCTATGAGGATTTTTGTGCTGCAGCTCATATCAACTATGCAGTGACCGCCCAACAGGTCAGTCTCCAAGCCATAAACTGCTACTTTTTGCCCAGCAAGGTTCAGTCTAACCTATCAAACCAACCGCTTTAAACGTGATTGTAAAAGTCTTTTACCTGAAATAAATATATCAGTGCATGTGAAACAAAGTCAGCCAGTAACTTATGTAGCTTAATGCGGATCTGAATCCAGATTTCCCCTGGTCTTAACCCAGATCAAACAGTGGTAGACATGCGTCAATTTCATCCTTAAGCACTGTTAAAATTCCTTGAAGCCTGGTTCTCCACCAATAAGTCAATAAACAGACACATTGACACCGACCCAATCTACCAACTGCTGAGAACCAAAGAACTACTTCAATCCTGAAGGCAGCATTTAAAATGAACAAACAAGCACCCCACCAGACCCGAAACCAGACTGTGACTTGGAGGCAACCAACCAAACAAACACCATTTGCATCACACAAATGATACTTAAACATCAAGGACTATGGCCCAGCAACAACAAACAGCCAATCAAATAGCCAGAAACCAGACCATGACTCAGCAACATCCGGACAAATAACACCCACTTCAATTCACATCGTACAAAAAGGTATTTAAAGGCCAGTGCTCTGACAGATGAGCACAATTCAAAGTGCACTGAAGGCACTTACAATTTCCCCACTTAATTCCATATTTTTAATTAAACATTTAAAATGTTACCGCTCAACTAATAATATTAGTGAATACGGTCTATATGATGCCTGATTAAATGGATTTTAAAAACACTGGTATTTTCTTAACAATGTTGTTTGTGCAAGAGGCAAAACACAACAAGCATCTTTTCAGAGGTGTCAATGTACATATAATTTATATGTCCCCCCCCCAATGGAGACAAAATGTTTGCAGCCAAACCACCAAGCTCAGAGGTCAAACCAACAGCCCAACTACTAACCCGAGCTACTAATATTCAAACAGATCTCACACTTAAAATGTATCAAGCTGTAACTAAAGAGAAAGTACTTACGATTTCTGTGGCACAGATTTGGTTGCAACTTTATTGGTGGGCTCATTCCACTCTGAAAATAAAAGAAACCAAGTCATGTTTGTTGCCTTAAGTTTTGCAGCAACTGCACATCACACCACAATCACTCTCAAAACAAGTGATGTCACAAACCCTAATATGACAAAGCATTACAGGTAGTCCTCAATGTACAGCCACAATTGAGCCCAAAATTTATGTTGCTACATGAGACAGTATTAAGTGAGTTTTGCCTCATTTTACAACCTTTCTTGCAACAGTCATTAAGTGAATCACTGCAGGCGGCCCCACTGACTTTGCTTGTTGGAAGGGGATCCCATGAGCCCGGGGACACTGCAACTGCCATAAGTACAAGCCAGTTGCCACACGTCTCAATTCTGATCATGTGATCATGAGGATGCTGCAACAGTCATGTGTCTGAAAAACAACCATAAGTCGCTTTTTTTCAGTGCTGTTGTAACTTCCAACAGTCACTAAGTGAATTGTTGCAAGCTGAGGATTACCTGTATTGAAGAACATACAAAAGCTAGCTTTTTCTGTCGGATGGAGTTGAACCATCCATCGTTTGTCTTTATAGGATAACAGATCAAGATAAGAGCTGATGGTTTAGAGAAGCTGTCCTCTCCCTAATCCCACCAACTGGGGATGGTGGTGGAGGCTGGAGGTCCAAGTATCCTTAGAGGGCATCAAGTGACAGTAGGTTAGTTTACCTTCAGAACAGAAGACTTACTTTGCGCAGGGTATCCTGAGGTCAGATGCTGGCAATCCTACAAAGGAAAACAAAAACACGTCAACATTGTTCAGGTTAGGAAGGAGGACGTTATCCACAGAACACGTCAGAGTAACTGCAGAATGGATAGATAAGCAAAGACATTAAGGCTAGTAAAATGTACAATCTAATACAATCTCAGCCACCGATGAATATTCAATCACTTGCTATATGCCCGTATTCCCAAGACCCGTGTCCCTGATATTAAGTGAGAAAATTTGCCAAACGTGTTCACTAAGAGGCATCTGCTCTTTACGATGTCCCCAGCTTTCTCTGCAGATATCAAGGATCAACCCTGAAAGCTCCAGCATTCAAATAAAGAAACCCATCAAAGATACCAAGATATCGGGGTTCATGTGTGCAATGGCTTCTAAAAGGTTATGTCCCATATTTGTCATAAGGTGGACACGTATTCTTGACTGCTAATCAGTCTGGTGCTTAAACCACTGATGGGCCTGAATGGAATCTGTGCTTCTGAGGACAGGATGAGAGAAAAAGGGAAAGGGGAGGAGGGAGAGAGGAAGGAAGGAAGGAAGGAAGGAAGGAAAGAAGGAAAGAAGGAAGGGAGAGAAAGAGGGAGGGGAAGGGGGAAGGGGGGAGGTAAGAAGGAAGGACAAAAGAAAGGAAAAGAGGGAAGAAAGGAAAGAATTCAGTGGAATTAACAGATAGAATAATCTGGTGGAATAGGCAGATATCCTCCATGAAAGACTGTCCCACAAATAATCTGGTCCCATGTCATGCAGGGCTTCCAAGGTGAGAACTTTAACTGCACTTGGAAGGAATCTGGAAATCAGGGCAGCTTGTACAGCAACGGGGTAACCCAGATAAGTGGTGTAATAAAGGGCCACCCAAAACTGCACACCTGCTTTATTCTGGACCACTTGTAATAGTCTTCAGAGGCACTCCACGTAGAGCCTATTTAAGCATTATCCAATCAGGTAACATCAGATAGGTTTGGAATACAAAATAGCACCAATGGCCTTGCTTGCTCCTAGAGACTTCTGGGAGACTTATCCCAATAAGCAAAGGGGATTTGATGTACTACATTGTGATTTCGTATCTCTGAATAAATACATATTTGCAAATATGTTCTTAAACCTACCTGGGCCTTGCTTGGGATAGTAAATTTGTTCTGTTCAGCTTTCCCAGGAGTGTGGATAGCAGTGAGAGGTGGAGGCCATGAATGGGTCATCTCCTAGCAATGAAGCAAATGAAACATAGGAATATATTTTTAAGTCAAGACCAATCCATGTTCTTCCCCTTTGCTTTTCCTTTTAAGCATCCCCAAAATCACACTGGTAGGACTCACATGCCGGGCTTCGTCATACGATTGTTTGGTGCCATATCTTGTGTGAACATAGTCACTGTGACTTGTAAATTATGCTTCAGGTATGAAAGTGAAAAGCGTACCCAACCAGTGGTGGCTTATTCAACAGAATGGAGTTAAAAACAGACTGTGGAGTGTGAAATCCATCTCTCCAGAAATGGATTGTATTTTTCAGCTTGCCTGCTTTTGTGTATTTTTTTTTAACTTCAATATTTAACAAAAGACAGGGACATTTGATTTGAGTTTCTTGCTGTATTTTTTTTTATTATTATTTGCAGGGCTTGCAGGCTGCTCCAATCCACCAACTCTGAGTGACATGTAACTCTCCAAGATGTAATTGGGAGTAAACCAATGCAATCAATTTTTAAGAAGGTTACAACAGTTATGTCAATAACTCAGTCAAAGTAAAGTAACTATTTTTTTTAAAGCACATATCTGGAAAGGGAAGAAAATGCTTCATCTCAAATGTCTATCGAATACCTTCTCACACCAGCATGGATCATGAGTATAGATTGCTTCAGTCCTGTCTTTCAGTGATCATTCGGACAGAATGACTTTTGACCCGATCGTTACAAAACCTATGGATGCTGCATGCCTGGATGATGGTGAATATATTTTTCCCTTTCTCCAAGACCACCTAACAGGTGTCTTAATTTATCCCCACAACAGCAACTCTGTGTGGTAGTCTACAGAAGGGGGGGGGAATGTCCTTGACAAAGACAGACAAGGTCTATTACCAAAGCATTAAGAGGAAAAATGTATCTTAAGACCAAAATAGGCAGATAATGCTGGATCAGACAGACACCTCCCTAATTCACTTAAGTATAAAAAAGGGGAGAAAGACCAACCCAGTCAGACTAGCAAGATTGTGATTACAGCCAATCTCAAGGAATGTAGTTTTAATTTTTCTATAGAGTTGATCAATGGTTTGATTTATCTAGAAGGGTTGACAGATATTGGACTGAGAGAAAGTCACTCATTTCCATGACTTGACCTTGGATCTGTTTGAATCAAACACCTCACCCACTGTGCCATATTCACTATTTCTTAAAGGTTTTGAAGGCTGACCAGAATCTCAGATGGACGTATTTTCTGGGACATCATTATTTCAAGCCAAATGCAGGCAAACTGAATCTAGAGGGAGTCTCCAGACTTGGCAACTTTAAGACTTGTGGACTTCAACTCCCAGAATTTATCAACCAACCATGGAATTCTGGGAGTTGAAGTCCACAAGTCTTAAAATTGCCACGTTTGGAGATCCTTGATCTAGACCAGGGGTCTTCGAACTTGGCCCTTTTATGACTTGTGGACTTCAACTCCCAGAATTCCTCAGCCAGGCAGAATGCAGCCCAGTGTTTCCCAAACTAATGGGGAAAAAAAAAATCAGATTTCTTGTACTAAGTTGTGCAGAAGAGAAAGATGGAGTTTTCAGAAATGATGATTGAGAATTGCTGACTCGGAGGTTGATTTGGCTCCAGTATTCTCACTGCTAAAAAACTAAAATAAAATAAAACTAAAGATGGAAGCATTATTGTAACTGGCTCCATGTGTTTTTTTTAATTGTATTAATGAGTAGACATTAAACCAATTCCGAACTCTTTGTTTTTTTCTTTTCTTTAAGGATGCTGTTGTCATTTAAAAAGTAGCTGTAGATGCCCTCAGGTAAAGAACGGAGAAGCATACATGCAGAAGATGTTAATGAGTAGCCAGAAAAAGAAGAGGTTGTGGTACAATTTGTCTCAAAGGCAGAAGAATTAATGGCTCTCAAAAGAATTGGAGAGAATGAGCAGGCAGAACAATTAATTCTACGATACTCTTGAAGGAGTGTAGAGGCGGGATGAACTTCATCCCAGAAATAAAGCAGATAAAAAAAAATGTTTGTCTGAAAATAAAAATACATTCATTTTGAGTCTCTGCAAGAAGAATCTCTTTTCCATGATCAGAGCAATTTGGGGAGGTAGACTGGATGAGAGATTGCAAGTTATCCAGTGGCTCACTTGAAAAAAAAGAGGTCCATTCTAAGACCTTTAGTACTGATGGATGGATGCACTTGTTGCCTTAAAACAGATTACAAGGATCAATCCAGCAAGATCTGTTATGTCAGGATATCAAAATGAATTGTCCATGCCCAGAAACTCTCAACTAAAAGAAGCATTGGGGTAAAGTTACCCAGAGTATATTTTATTCCAGAAGAGTTTACCTCTTAAACTCTGAAAAAAAAAATGTCTTTGGCTTCACTAAAGGAGAGAATGAAAACTGCCTGAAACTGCCTGTTTTTGGAATTATTCCGGAAACCATTTAGTTCTACTTTATGCACTAAGCCTCCAAACCTACAAACTGCCTCTTTCCAAAAATTCAGCCAAAGTCCTAAAAATAAAATAAAATAAAAATAAACTCAGTCCCCCTCAGATTAGCAGGCAATTTAGCATACGGGAGGATTCAAAACTGAATTCTCCATTTTCTCGTTGCATTCTAACTGATTTCACCTAATCCGTGACTCCTTTTCATTAAAATGGGACACTATAAATTATAACAAGATCATTAAATGGATGCACTGGACTGTGTTATGGCTGAGGAAGCCATTAGATCAGGCTAAATTTCCCCAAATTGCTTGCCACAAAGCTTATTCTCCGTTCCGTGAGAGGCAGTTGCCTTATCAATTCCACCTCCATCTTCTCCGTGATATGGAACTATTTTTATAATTTGCTTTTGGTGCGTATCCACAATAAGCAGAAAGATAAGAGATGTATCTCCTAATAAATGAATTGATAAATCATCATGCGTTCTGCAAAAAGGGCAGCAGCCATGTTGATCTTCCAAAGAGGTAATCTTTTAAAAGGGTCTTAAAGTCTTAAATGGGTCTTAAAGTCTTAAATGAATGGTAGAGAATCATCTTGGTTAAAAAGTGGCTTTAGGTTTGCAAGCTTCTACGGTGAAATGCAAGAAGGTTGGAAGCAGATTTTTGAAAAATTGATTTTTCAAAATCAATCATTCAAGGATGATTGATTTAGTTCCATATCTTACCCTATGGTGAAATAGAATAGAATAGAATAGATAAGAATAGAATAGAATAGATTTGGCCAAATGTGATGTTTAGACGCACAAGGAATTTGTCTCTGGTACAAAAGAGCTCAGTATATTTGCAAAACAACAGAGAAAATAATGTGCAACCAGCAGAAGGGGGAAATAAAAAGTAATAAAAGGATAAATAACACTACAGCCACACTCTATGGGTTAATATACATACACTACAGCAGAGTTTCCCAACCTTGGCAATTTTAAGACATATGGACTTCAACTCTCAGAATTCCCCACCCTAATCTACAAAAATACAAAAACACCTTTATGGATGGACTTATTTCAACCAGAATAGAGCTGGAAGGGACCTTGGAGGTCTTATAGTCCAATCCACCTACTCAAGTAGGAGACCCTATATCATTTCAATCCAGTCTCTTCTTAAAAACCTCCAGTGTTGGAGCACCCACAACTTCTGGAGGCAAGTTGTTCCACTGGTTAATTGTTCTCAGGAAATTTCTCCTTAGTTCTAGGTTGCTTCTCTCCTTGATTAGTTTCCATCCGTTGCTTCTTGTCCTGCCTTCTGGTGCTTTGGATAATAGCTTGATGCCCTCTTCTTTGTGGCAGCGCCTCAAATACTGGAATACTGCTACCCTGTCACCTTTCTACTGGGATACAACCAGTGGACCGAACTCTAGATGGAATTTAGAGCTTTGATTCCTTCTCAACATTTTTGTCTCTTCTAAAAGTAGAATGTTAGAAAACCATTGAACCAAATTATGTCCCTCATTGTATTATGTGGGAATGGGAAATGCAGTACTTTATAGGAAAAGAGATTGTGTGTTTACACACTATAGACAGACCGAAGACTGTGCTGGGGCTTCAAAATCACCTCTCTACTTTTCGATGATGAGTGTAGGGGAATACCTTCAGTGCCAAGGAGGTGGGAAAACACAATTATCAAAGGTATTGGTGTAAATTCTCAAAAATGGATACCACTTGCTAGAAATCTTTCACACCAGTCAGCTTAAGTGACACACCTTGTTTTCCGAAAGCACAAGCTGCAAAATATAGTATCCCATTAGGGCTAATAAGTTCTTAAGACCCTTAATTTTGAAATATAAATATATATATATTCTTGATTATTTTTCAGATTAGTTGGGTCCTGGCTGTCTTTAAGTAGGCACAAGGCAGCTCTCGGGGTTTCTTTGGAGGATATACTGTATTTCTCACTTGCTGGGACACTTTTTATTCTGGAGGGACACATCGCGAATCCTTCAAGCACACCCACTTAAAATGTGGGGCATCTACGTTCAAGACTGGCACCAACCTTTTTGGAATAACTGGGATCTTGGAATGGATGCATTTGTTCAATTTCGGTTCTGGGTCTCCAGTTCATTCTGACATGAGTTTGGAATTATGGGGGATTTGGGGGGGGGGAGGAGGGAAAGGCTGATTGAAAATGGATCTGCTTATTGGGGTATCTGGTTGGGAAAATGGAAAAAGGTTCCATCAAGCTTTGAGGTCGGTTCAGGCTAACTTCCTCAGGAGGAACTGATTTTTTACTCTTCTGAGTACGTCTCCTGATTTTACGCGATGATTTATTTTATCATTTGATTTGTAATAAAAAAATAAAATAAAAACAGTAACATTGATAGAAACAGTGTCGGGTAGGGAATCGTAGAAATCTGGTCTAAAGGTTTGGAACTGCTTTCTAATCGGAGATGAAAACTGTTTCCTCTTGGATTTCTCTTCTCAAAAAGTGAAATATTATTTTTGGTTGAAACCTCTTTCCTTATGTTTTCCTGTGGTTGGATATGTCCCTATTTGTTGTTCTTGGAAATAAGCAGCCCGAAAAGCAGTGTTGCATGAATAAAATTCATCTATCTTTTCCAAGTTCACTTTAAAACAAAAACAAAATTTTTTTTTTAAAATGAAACTGTTTCTCCCTATAGTCTGTTTCTTCTACATACACCTGCTGGTTCAGCTTAATTGTCATAAATATTATTTACACTAAGTCTAGCCTTATACTATTCAAATGAATGGTTGTTTTGACTCTGAGGTTTGCCAACAGATTTTCGAGGGAGTGCAGCGCAAGAATTTGAAGCAGTGGGAAAAAAGTAGACTTATTCTTAAAACGAACACTGGCAAAGAACTAAAAAAATAATAATCCTAAAACATTATATTAAAAAAATAAAGACTTGACAGATCCCTAATTTTGGGGGCTGAGGTTTCAAATCCTGTTGTGAACATTCCTGAATATGGACTGCTACTGTCACCAATTCACTGAACTTTAACAGAATAACAGAGTTGGAAGGGACCTTGGAGATCTTCTAGTCTAACCCTCTGCTCAAGCAGGAGACCCCTATAACATTTCAATCCAGTCTCTTCTTAAAAATCTCCAGTGTTGGAGCACCTACAACTTCTGGAGACAAGCCATTCCACTGGTTGATTGTTCTCACTGTCAGGAAATTTCTTCTCTCCTTGATTAGTTTCCATCCGTTGCTTCTCGTCCTGCTTTTAGGTGCTTTGGAGAACGGACTGACCCCCTTTTCTACTTTAGACATCTGTTCTTTGTCCTGGAATGACTGCACAAATTTTCTTCACCTAGCCTCTATCTTTCCAGATTTCACTCCTTGAAAATGTCCTGTGCGCTTTGGTCTAGACTTCTTGGAGTAAGTCTTATCCCAAAGTTGATTTTGGCAGAACAGCTACAAAGAGCAGTTAATTTCTACTTCCATTGCCAAGGTATTGTCAACCAACTATCAATGAGTTCAAATGACTAGAAATGTGAGTTGCCGCCCTCTTTTGTGGTTTAGCTTGGAAAACTATAATACGAAGGATATATAGAGCTTCAGTTAAAAAAAAAATAGGACAAACCCATCGTCAGTGGGAGGAGAAAGCAGACAGTCTAGGTTTAATCAGAGACTCTCTGACCACAAATGAATTCCCGTGGCAAAGTGTCTGGATGAAAAGGAATTAGGTCTCTAGGAGTTTGACAACTATGTAAGGAACTCGGCACATTTGATTTCCTGCTCCTGGATACATTAACCGAGGAAGATATCCAGCAAAATAAAACAATAGAACGAAAGCTAGCAGGGACATTGGGCCAATCCTGGAAACTGTATCTATGACTAACAGAATAACCGAGTTGGAAGGGACCTTGGAGGTCTTCTAGTCCAACCCCCTGCTCAGGTAGGAAGAATTGACATCTTTGAACTGTGATGTTGACATAAACTATTGCATATACCATAAACAGCCAGAGTAACCAACAGAAAAGTTCTGAATTGGCAAAAGGGTGACCCAACTGTTTGCTTAAGGCCTTGCAGGAACTCATTTTCCCAGCCTGGAGATTTGGCTTCTTTCGCATCCTGCTCTAGTTAGCTAGGGCTAATTATAACACCTATCCCACAGATCTTCTTCTTTAGGCAACGTGGAGCTTTTACAAGCCATGGAAGAAGAAAGTATGAACCCAAATCTCCTCCTGACCGTGAGTCTCTACAGTTCTTCTAACTGAAGTGGGATCAGCCGCATGGAACATCCAGAGGCTGTTGGGTACATGCAACACAAACCAGCATTGCAAAGATCTCCAGTTCTACTCTGGCCACTGCTAAGATCACAGTCGATTGATGTACTCCCTGTTGAAAAGCTCATTGTGCCTCATTCTTCAGACAGCAAAAGGGCTAGGTTGCTAAGTTACTGGTATTTGACATCATATCCTTCCCAAGGTGTTCCCATATTTGACAGACTCTTTATGATTGACTATGCCGGCCAGCCTTGCTATTTGTGCAATCACGTCTGAAAAACCATTTGAAATTCAGATTGTGTCCTTTCTCCCCCCCTCCCTAAACCCTTCCCAGCAAAAGTGGCACATGCGTATTTTGAAACTTTTTGTGGACACGGGATGCATCTGCACCCAGATGAAAAGAAACAATTAAGGGGCTTTCTGGGAGGGTGAGGGACACAGGGACAAGTCTATTAGCAGGCTAATTTTGCTTTGTGAACAAGGCATCTCAACCTAGGGCTAGTACATATTAAGTCGATTAGCGCCTTTCAAATTGTACGGGAAAGGTAATATTGCATATCATTTTCTCAGTCAAGGGCATTTTCACCTGCTGATCAATTTACATATTCTCCAAGGTCATTAGATTGAAGCTAGTCATCAGGAGGGGTGAAGAGAGAATAAATTACAAAGTTTTGTTCATTTAATTCTCGTCATTTTATTCTAATTATAAGCAGCCTCTGTTTTGCTTGGGAGTATGAAGCTTTTAATTAATACTGCACCTGTCCAACTATTTGTCTTGAAGGATGGAATGGATATTCCTAACTAGGAGAACATTGTTCTTGGAATCGGCATCTAGTAAGGTCTTACATATTACAGCTGTCACACTCCATCCTAAATTTGGAGTTTTCTTCCCATTGGGGAAAGAGCCTTCCCCAGTCTGACGTCCCGTGGATCTATTTCAACAGGAAACTCTCCAATTTCCCAACCAACATGAAGAAGAAGTGGCGATGTGACTTTTGTGAACAGACAATCATTGACCGGATTAGCCTGCTTCAAACAAGTGTTGGGTCCTAGTTGGGTCTTCAGTGAAGACATCATGGCAACCTCTAAAGGAGAAGGTTTGCTTGCTGTTCCACACATGGTGAACTCCAACAGCACATGGTGAACTCCAACAGATGATAACCTGAAGGAACCACAGAGACTTGCAACACTGAACATTCATCAAGTTAGTGACCCAAAGAGATGTGTCCTTGGCAGAAATTTCATATGAAAACACTGTATGGCCTTGAGGAAGGAATATGCAAGAACCTATGGCTACGATTAACCTGACTGATACAATTTTATTATAATAGAATGGGTACATTCTAGGATGGAAAGCTACTTCAAATATGATATACTTCTGATCCACCAAGAAGGACCTTCTTCAGAACACTCTATTTAATTCCTGGGCCTTCATTTTAGCTGAAGTGGCTTTTGAATGAGGAACATAAGAGTTGTAACTCTTAACATTTTTGTGTGGCAGTGCTGCAAATGCCTGGTTTCACCCAACTTCTTGATATTTCTCTGTTATGGATGTTACTATATTGGCTGTTGAAAGTTCACCTCTTAAAGCATGAGTTTGCTTTACTAATGGATGGAATTGATTCTATTTTTCTATGCTTCCACAGAGTTCAGTACATACTCTTATTCCAGCTAAAACAGGATACTCGGTTTGAAACCACCTGATATGTCTTCTAGATAAACAGAGATTTGATCGTATCATTACGGTTCGGTTGTTTAACATTCTATGGAGATTCTGTTATGTAATTGACAAAAAAGAATTCAACTTACCCGTAATATCTCCTCCACACAGCTGGAATCATTGGGAAGGCTAACCTAAAAGAGGGAGAAGGACATACGTAGTCAGTCTAAAAAAGAATTTTTCTGGTCACGGTACCAGTAAAAGACAGGTAATATCAACAGGTTACATGTTACCTTTTAAAATGGTAAAACAACAAAGCACTACTTTCCACGGTATTCCCAGGGAAGGTCAGCCTTCCTTAGTTATTAATTAATTAGCTCCATCTATATGTTTGCTCAGGTATACATCAACAAACAAATCCCAAATGAAAAACTCCATGCCTAAAGAATCCATACTGCTGTTAATTCATGGGGAGAAAATGGCATTGATGAGCTGATGGAATTGTTCAGTTAGTTGCTTTGTGTGGTGGAATGTGGTCTGGATTCCCAGGAGGGAGGGGCTGCACCCAGAGGGTAAAAGAGGCAGCAGGGCTTGGAAAATTTGGCCAGCAGAAAGAGGGTTAAAATGGTTCCTCCCCAGCTTATCCCAGAGTATATATGTAGTTATGCAAATAGTTGCTTTAGACTGGCAAGTTTCTGTCTGTAGGTGAAGAACAATAAAGAACAATAAAGGAGACTACTCATAAGTAACTCCTGACAGTTGGCCAACATACAAACCATTTTTAAGAGTAATACAGAAGAATTTAAGCTACAGAGAAGGGACAGAGGAATTAACAGGCTCTTGAATAACTTTTAACTTGCTCCAGTTGATGGGCCAGTAACCCCAAAGCAGTTTACGTGACCCAGAAAACTTACTCGGAGCTCTGTTTAAGAAAGAAAAAAAACTGTCTCTGGAACGTAAGTCTGAAATCCGTCCACATTTGAACTCTGTGTCAAATATAGCTAAAGACATACCTGTGGGAGCTTTAAAGATTTATTAAAAATAAATAAATTGGGCGAAGAATCTTCTTCGGATCTCTTTTTGCCAAGGATTTACTACAATTGGGAAAAACTGGGGCAGAATTTAGCACAGTTTGCAAAGTACTTCAGGGTTTGTGAAGCTGTGGGCGAGAATAAATCCAACACAAGCATCCATAGAAGTTGGTGGCTTTGGACAATTTGCTTTTAAAAAATGTGTTTCTGAAACATGGATTCTGAGCCAGAGTTATGGTGAGGCATTAAAGATCCTACTTCTTCTTTTTCACTGATAAACTCTTGTTTAGACTCAGACTAGGTGTATCTATTAAATTTGTCCAATTTTGGCAGATGGGAATTTTGTTCATCTGCTTTTCTTAAAACGTTTTCCAAGATTGGTAGATCTTTTTTGATATTTCAAAGAAATTTAGAAATTTAGGTAAAAGATTCTGGGGGAGAAAGGATAATTGATGGAATCTTCATGAAAGGACAAATGTAATTTCCAACATTTCAAATTAGACTTTTATCAATGGAAGCCATATGCCTGGGAAAACCAGTTTACAACAATGCCCCTTGCTACTGATAGTGATAGGATGGATTAATTGCCCTGGGGGTAAAACTATACGATGAAGTCCTTTATGTTATAATCTATAACCTAAAATGCAAATCCTGAATTTTACTGTGTCTCCTTAATCCATTATAACTTTCATTGTCAAAAGATGCTGGTAGATCTATTAACTGGTGGAGTTTCTGACCTTCCAAGATTTGAAACCCCTTAGATTTGTGTTGTGTTTACTCAGACTTCTTAATTGCTCTCCAAAAAACAAAGAGAATGAACACTGATTCTAACATAACGGTCTCCCCAGCTGATTTTTAAATCACATCAATGAAAGGCTACTCTGACAGCATGCAGTCCAAGTTCGAATGAAGGGTTTAATGACAGTGAAATGGAAAATTAAAGCAGGTACACGCACAGACCCAGACAGACAGACAGACAGACAGACAGACAGACAGACAGACAGACTCATAAGCACGCAGACATGGACAGAAAAATTAAGCAAAATGAAACAAAAGCAACCCATCCTCTGAAATTGCACCACAGAAGCAGCAAACTGTTCAGTTTCTTATTAATGAGACATTCTGCTGAGCAAGTGCGTTCATAAATCCCTAATGAGGATTTTAAACACATTAAAACTTCTTAATGCAAAGTGTTTGCTTTTGTTTTCATCCAATAACAAGCCAATAATTCTGTGCCTCTAAATGACACTATTAACTGTCATGGTATGCTTTATTTGACAATCACTTCATTCAAATACAGTAAAAAAAACCAATTAATTTGCCTGTTGTGAAATGTTTCTTGATAGCTTTTACAGGGGGATTCCTTTGCCTCTTGCAGAAATGCATATAGCAGGTCAATAGAGGGAATCTAGTTTTGCTTTAAAATTCATGGCAATAAAATCTAGGTCTTTTAGTAATTTGTTATTAAAATATATACCCCACCCACATTAGAAAGACTATTATTTGACTATTAAAAATTGATAGCTGTTTATTCAGCTTGGATTTACAAAGACAGATAAAATATCCTTCCTTTTTTTGAGTTGTCCATCACGTAATGTCAATCTTATAGGTCAAAAAATCCAATATAATAGTATTATAAACACTAAATATTCAGGATCCTTCCAAAATGACTACTTGGTTCTTTCTTAAAACAACGGCCAACAAATGGAAAGTTGATCCATGCAAAGCCTTACATCTAAGTCAAGAGAGATTACCTCCTCTTGTGACATCTTATAGAGGAGGCAATATTTTATTGCTCTGTTAACCATTTTTCTGAGACATGTGAACATCCCACCCTGGAGCAGAGATGGACATGGAAGAAATGGAGAAAATCACATTAGTTTCTAAGGTGAATTTTTTTTGGGTGATCACTACATTCTTTAACAAATAGGTACACTACTACTACTTCTTCTTCTTCTTCTTCTTCTTCTTCTTCTTCTTCTTCTTCTTCTTCTTCTTCTTCTTCTTCTTCTTCTTCTTCTTCTTCTTCTTCTTCTTCTTCTTCTCCTTCTCCTTCTCCTCCTTCTCCTTCTCCTTCTCCTCCTCCTCCTCCTCCTCCTCCTCCTCCTCCTTCCTCCCTCCTGCCTGTGCTCCCACACAATTGTGACAAATCTAAGCTTGGAAAAGCTTATTAAAACCTTTCCAATTGTTGGGTTGTCCAGAATATAGAATATGATCATCTTAGCTTTTGAAGAAGGCATTTAAGTCTGCTTACCTCTGAACCCATGGAGGAAACATTTTCTCCTTTCTCCTTTTGCCCCAATTAATTCAGATATTTTTTTTTAAGACAGGGCTAACACCTGACACTGCTTCACTGATGACCTTTCTCATGTGTCAACACTGCCAGCTTTTTATCCTACAAGAGTCTGCCTGGTGCCCCCAGAGGTGTTTCACCGCACACTAATCCATTCTACGAGACAGTCACTAAAATTATCATTCATAGTTTAACTTCCTTTCTTATTTCCTGCTTAGGTATTTTTGGCTTCCCAAGGCAGAAAGTTGAAGACTGAATTTCTTTGAACAAGCCAACTAACACTTCCTCTAAATGCTGACCATAAACATCCGTTATTGTCAGGGAGATCAGTAGAAGATGGCTCCCATTAATTTTCTTTCCCTTACGACTCATCCTTTTCTGGAAGTTGACTTGCCATTGGACCCCATCAAGAATCAACAAGAAGCATGGTTATATAAGGAAGCAAAAAATCCTGGAGGGAAATTGTGAATAGATAGCTGTCTTTGCTGGCTGATATGAACCAAGCATAATTTCTTAGGACAGCCATAGCATGGGAACCTGTTTCAACTCCAGCTGTCAATGGACCATGCAGATAGGGTCACAAAAGAGCCAGTTTGGTCCAGCAGTTAAGGCACCAGGCTAGAAAGTGGGAGATAGTGAGTTCTAGGCCCACCTTAGGCACGAAAGCCAATTGGATGAGTTTGGGCCAATCACTAGGAGTTTAACCAATCACCAGGAGACAGTGAGTTCTAGTTCTGTTTGGGTGATTTTGGCCCAATCACCAGGAGTCTGTGTATTTTAGTCCCACCTTAGGCACGAAAGACGATTGGATGACTTTGGGTCAGTTACTTCCTCTCTCAGGTAGTTCGTGAAATAACCAGGAATAACCTATTTCTCATAAGATCATTGACTAATATCTATCTATCTTATAAAGAAATGGAGAAGCACATTCGTTACCCCAGAGAACCTGCTTACATTTCATTACTGTCAATTTAAGCAAGATCCTTTCTTTAGCAATCCACAAGATCAAAGCAACCATTACTCAAAATGTTTCTAGCAAGAAGCTGTATCTGCGCGCATGAAGATGTCCCAAGTACCTTCAATCTCAGACATGGTTCTTAGAAGATGCACTTGGCCGATCAGCAAGGAGCCATTTTGCAGTATCTCCATATACATATATAAAAGGCATATGCCTTCAGGACACCATAACTATTTCAAGGTAACCTCCATATTGCTGTTCGTAATCAGTTCCTCTGCTAATCTGAGATTTGTTAGATGGTGAATGGCAAGATACAGAGTGATGGAGGAAGGGGTCAGGAGTGGTCCAAGGGTATGGAATGCTGGAAAGAAGAAACACTAGCAACAGGTGCCAGGAGATGGTTGCTAGGAAAAATGGAATCTAATTAGTGAGGAAAAAAGGTGAGATCTCTCGGCAGAAGCTAAACCATTATCTGAGCTACAAGAAGGGGTCAGATTCTTGATTGTCTGTCATGAGAGACCACTAGTAGATGAACTTGGCATGTACAAACCTTGTAACAGCAAGCAATTCCAGCAAAGCACTAAGTCCCATCATTTCAAAAATTGGGTCCACCCAACCGATGAATTGAAGGTCAACCAACAGGCAAAAGGGATGATATTTTTGTGATAAAGGTTAAGGGAAAAGCCATGTTTGATGCTTCATTTTCTCATTCTTAGATCTAAGCCCTGGTTTGCTGGACATTTTTCTTAGATCTTAGATCCTGTCCATTTTTATGCAGACACTTTTGATGGAAGGTGAACACGCCCTCATTCACATGTGGATATCTGTACTGACTCAAACCTGCTCATGGAGCCAGTGCTTTTTCAGAAGATGGAAGAAGGAAATGAATTAAGTATCCTTTAGTATGCCTTT